TTTCCCGAACAGTAATATTACTAATATTACTGTACGAAATAGTAATATTATTGCATGAGACAGTAATATTACGGTCGGAGACAGATATATTACAGTCGAAGACGGCAAATATGCAAGCCACGACCATAAAATTAATTAATACAGTAATATTTGTCTCAAACAGTTACTGTTGGAGACACTAATTTAGCAGACAATACAGTAATATTAATTAAAATAATTTTTTTTTTAAGAAAAAACAAATTTAAAAAAAAAAAAAGTCAATTAACAGTTAAATTTTTGTCTCCGACAGTTAAATAACTGTTGGAAATAGTTTTTTTAGCAGCCAATATAGTAATATTAATTGAAATATTTTTTTTATGAAAAAAAAATTCAATTACTATATCCGACAGTTAAATAACTGTTGGAGACAGTAATTTAGCAGCCAAGACAGTAATATTAATTAAAATATTTTTTTACGAAAAAAAAAGTCAACGCCGGAGACCCGACGGTCAACGGCGCTCGACCTACCGGAAAAAAATTCAGAAAAAAAAATTCAAAAACAAGAAAAAAAAAAAGTCGACGCTGGAGAGGGGCGGTCTCCGGCGATGGCGGGTCAAAATTGGGGTCAAAATTTGTTAATTGGTGAAATTGAGCTAAATTGGGTTGTAAATCATGACATTGGAGTTGAATTGAATTTTAATGAATTTGGGGTAATTTTGGTATACATAAAAGGGTTCTCCTTATTTGCAAATAAGTGTGAATGACCTGGATTTATTTGAAAGACAAAAAGTTGGATGTCCCTTTTTTAATTAAGTGCCCTTGTCATGGGCCTATTTGCCATTTACCCGGAGAAATTAACGAACAATCCCTTGTAGACTATAGTAAACTTTGTGGAACTTAAATAGCAAAAAAAAAAATGTGTTCTATTTTTATCAAGCTTAAATATTTGGGTTTATTTGAGATAGCCCCTCACTAATTTATATAATATGGGTTAAACTCAAGCCTTTTTATATTTTTTTTAGTAAAACTCATTTGTTGTAAGGGGGTCATTGTAAGACGAAAACAAAAATCAGGGGGATTCTTGTAATTACGAATATGTGGCGGTGTTTTTCTTTATTTAACCTATGTTCAGGAGGTTTTTAATTTACCCTTGTTAATATACAACTTCAATTAATTTACACGTGTGCCCATGTATTAGAAACTAACATAAAAGCCCATGCTAATGAAAATAGAAAAAAATTCAAATAAATAAACGTCACTATAAAATGTTTATCAATAATAAATGAAAAAAAAAATTAATTGATGTAAATCAGTAGAATATATTTGTGATATAAAGAACATAGATATAAAATATACATTTGATTCTTATAAATATTACAGAATAAACAATTTATTTTTACAAATTTAAAAAAATGAAAATTAAGAAAATAAATATATCTTATTATATGTGATGGGAAAATAGAAAACTTAATTCTATTTCACTAATGTAGATACATAACTTTTAGGGTAACTAGCACTTAAGCCCCTTGTGGTTTGGACATTTTGCACATGACCTCCTTTTGGTTTGAAATTAGGCATATAACCCCCTTGTGGTTTTGACATTTTGCACATGACCCCTTTATGGTATGCAATTAGGCACATAACCCCCTTGTGGTTTTGAAATTTTGCATATGACTCCCTTATGGCATGAAATTAGGCACATAGCCCCCTTGATTAGAAAACTGGAAAATTAAAGGGGTTATTTTACATCCCCCTGCCACCAAATAAATTAGGGATAAACCCAAGCCCAAATCATCATTTGACATACCCCTGGAAAAGCGAAAGTACTATACTACCCTTTTATGCAATTTTCGGCCAAACTGCATTCAGCATTTCTGCACCTGCATTTATCATTTTCGCTGATTTATTCATTATTATTTTCACTTTTTTTTTTTTTTAATAATAAACCTATTTGTTAAATTTATATATATATATATATATATATATATATATATATATATATATATTCATTTTTTTTAATTTTCTTAATTTTTTTTAAATTCAAAAAAAATTATTATTTTTTGATTATTTTTTTAATTATTTTTTAATTTTCAAAACAATATGTTTACTGTATTGAAAATAACTACATGTAATATAGTACCTATAGTAATTCGTAGTTATGTTCATTTTTTTTCCCCATATTTTTAGTCGATCAATTGTATACACACACGAATATTGGCTTATACGAAGGAAATTCATAAAACCCAACAAAAATTTACAAATTTCAATATTTTTATTATAAATCACCTCAGAACCAATAAGATACAAAACGAAAATACACAAATATACGCATATGTAACTACATGTTACTATGGTAATGTATAGTAATGTACAGTAATGTATACAGTCTGTTGAACAAAAGCAGATGTAACTTCAAACAAAAATTTTGACACCTCAAGAAAAGGATCAATGGCCTTCATTAAGCTGCAATTGCAAAATCAAAACAAAAAAAAAAAATTACTTTAATGCAAATCAACAAAATTTGAAGAAACATCAAAACACTCAAAAATCAACAAACACTAAGAGATCGAGAGATAGAGAGAGAGAGGTTATTGCTGAAAAATGCTACAGATGTTAAATCAAACAGTTAGTGACTCTTCACCCCCTCGCCTCCTACCAAAACCCTAGACGCCGCTAATAACCACCAACAGTTCCGCGCGCCCACAAATGCAAAAAAAATATAGAAATATATGAGAACATAAAAATAAATGAAATTACCATCAAAATACAGATCTCGACGAGAGGAATCAAACGGTGGGTAGCCCGTCAAATTTCGACGGGTGGAACACAAAACAAAGCTCCGGCAAGACCACCGTCGTCGAATGAAAAAAATTGCAGAAACAGATCAGCGCTCCAAATTGAATGAAATCACCACCAAAAGAAAGAGCTCGACGAGAGGAATCCAACGGTAGTTAAACCATCGAATTCCGACCACCGAAGAGAGAGTTATGACTCCGGGAAGCAATTTCGCCGGTGGGAGGTTTGTGGAGGCGATTTTGAATCTGGAAGAGGAAGAGAGAGACCGAAATGTGTTGGGTTAGGGTTTAAAACTGATTTTTAAAGGGTATTATAGGGACTGCAAATAGCCCAGGGGGGTATGTCAAAATATTTTCGAAATGACGGGGGTATTCCCTAGAGTGTAATCCACTTGGTAGTGAGTTCTATATAATTTGGAAATGAGGTGGGTCTACAAAATAATCCCAAAATTAAATTACCCCTAAATAATAAAGACTTTGTTTATTAAAAAAATTAAATTCGATAATAACTATAATATAATATATTATATTATAAATATAAAATAGTAAATATAATCATAATTAATAACAATATTAAAGCTTTGAAATATGTAGAATTATTTTATTGAATTATAATTGATCAAAGAAATTGATAGTTCATAATTTTATATCGAGTTTAATCTTTTTATATTTGATTTGTAACATATGAAATTTCCAAATTGGTTTCTAAAATTGAATATATTGTCAATCATATAATAACTAGTATTATATACCTTTTGTGTTGTTAAAATAAAAAAAACACAATAATATATTATATTTCTCATTTTACAAAAAAATACATTAAACTTTTCATTTTATAGAATAGCTATTTTTAAATTAAAACAAGAAATTTTGACTTGATAGAGTAACCAACAAACAGTTGGTATGGTTACAATTTGTCTAAACTTTAGGGGTGATTTAGTATTTTCCAGTTTTCTATTCAAGGGGGTTATGTGTCTAATTTCGTACCATAAGAGGGTCATGTGCAAAATGTCAAAACCCCAAGGGGGTTATGTGCCTAATTTCATACCATAAGGGGGTGATGTACAAAATATCCAAACCACAAGGGGGTTATGTGCCTAATTTCATACCATAAGGGGGTCATGTGCAAAATGTCCAAACCACAAGGGGGTTAAGAGCTATTTACCCTAACTTTTAAGTTAGACAAAAGAACTCGTGTATTACAATACCAAAAGACAGTGAAATATATACAATGTTAAAATATCTAACAAACAATTATTTATGTTTTAATTAGATTTGTATTTTGATATTTCATCTTTCGCTATGTCAAAATACATACTGCAGAATAAAATATAAAAAATGAGTGATGAATTTCATCACCCCATGTCCATTTAGAAAATAACATGTGGCAATTATATATAAATTAATTTAAATATTTTTAATTAACAACCATTTGATATCTACGGTTGGAGCAAATACCTTAAGATAATTAAGATCAAAATAAAATATTATATATAATAAATATTTGCAAACTCATTTTAATACTTTTGAATTGGAGTTACTCTAAATATGTACTTAATTATATTTATCGGAGTTATAGTAAAATACACACTCTCATTTAACCCCTAAGTCAATGAGAGTGGGTGCCCATTTCACATATAAACGACATATATATGAATCTTACGAATTTTCGATGTGTATGCAAAAATCATTTAAAATGTTATTTTTTATGGTAATTGATCTATGCGTGGAGTGTTGCACCTTTTCTTGGTTATGATAAATCATGTCCCCACAAAAGTTATGCTTAGTGAATTATCTATATAAGAATTCCACAAGTCCATACTAGTTAGAGCAAAAGGAAAAAAAAAAGAGAGAAACAAAAGAAGAAAGAATTGTAGCAACTTTATACAAATTTGATATATATAAGTACAAAGAAAATGAGAAAATAACAAATAACAAAAGGAAATACAAAGAAAAGATGGCTTTATGAACTTTGTTATTAAATGAGCCACATAATTCTTTTTGAATCTTTTGCAATTCATTAATAACATCTTTCATCGACATTCTTTCTCTCGGCACTTCCTTTGAACACGAGACTCCAATGCTGATAATAGAAGCCATAAAATCCTCGATCTTACTACTATTTGATGAGGGCCTATTCGAATGAGAGGATCCACAATTTCCATTACACGATCCGGTAACGCTGCGACAACAAAATTATGAAGATTGACATGATCCATAAATGAATCATCTGTTGGTCTTCTGTCTTCTGTTTGTGAACATCTCCAATACAAGAATGCCATAACTATACACATCGCCTTTTCTTGTGATCGTGTTACTCGTGCCATATTCTACAAATACGTACACGATATCAATTAAATAGATAAAATTTGGTGGGATTGTATAATGCAATGAAAATTGTACCTGGAGGGACATAGCCAATGGTACCCCTTATGCCAATTGTGCCACTACTTTCTTGCGGTGAAAGTATGCTTGAAATAATCTTTGCTAATCCAAAATCACCAACGCAAGCCGTCATATCTTGATCCAAAAGAATGTTACTTGGCTTTAAATCGCCGTGAACAATTGTTGAATTAGTACCACAATGGAGATATTCAACTGCTCGAGCAATATCAATAGCAATGTTGAGCCTCTGTTTAATGTCAAGATATCTAAGTTGGGTTTCAGATTGACCTTTCTCTTGTTCCCTATTGTAGCACAACCATTTATCCAAACTCCCATTAGCCTTAAATTCGTAAATCAATGCCTTGAAATCGTTTCCTTGGAAGTCAACGCTTTCGCAAACACTCAACATTTTCACGACATTTTTGTGTCTTATGCCACTCAATGCGTTGCATTCCGCCATGAAACTCTTAGTAGCTCCTTTTACAAAAAGATTAAGAATTTTCACGGCTAAAAATGTGTGGCCATTATCGATAATGCCTTTGTAAACAGATCCGAATCTCCCACGACCCAAAATATTATACTCCGAAAATCCATTTGTTGCGTGTAAGAGATCTGCATATGAAAGCCTTAAAAAAGGTATTCCGACAGATTATGGTAGAGAAGACAAACTTGTGTTGATAGTTCTTCTCTTGTAAAGAATAATGATGAGGCACAAGATTGCTGCAACTCCAACTATTGGAATCACTACTTTTATAGGAGTGGATAAGTTATTCTTTGAGGAAATTGACGATGAAGAACATGGAGGAAAATTTAACTCAAAAATTACTCCACACAAATTTTTATTTCCTTCCAACGAAATCGCAGTCTTATTTTTAAAGACTCCAGTTATCGGCACTTTTCCTTGCAATATATTGAAAGATAGGTTCAATTTTTGGAGATGTAACTCACTCAAGAAAATTGGGATTGTTCTAGACAAATTATTCCGTGAAAGATCTAGATTTGTCAAGCCTCTTAAAGAACCCAGTCCCTGAGGTATTTGTCCTTCGAATAAATTACCCTCCAAATGTAGCCATTCCAAACTATTGCACATCCCTAAAGAGTTTGGAACAAGTCCAGACAGTCTATTATTAGAAAAATCTAAGACTTCCACCTTTGTCAGTGAACCAACTTCAACTGGAATCGAACCCGTGAGTTCATTGTAAGACAAATTCCAGAAAACATAACTGGTGGGAATAAGAATCTCTCGGGGTATTGGGCCAATGAAGTTGTTTCGAGAAAGATCTAATTCTCGCATGGTGGTGCAGTTAACAAGACTCGTGGGAATAATTCCAGAGAAGTTGTTTATTTGCAAGGATAGAGAGTACAAAAAAGTTAGGTTTCCAAATGCGGACGGTGCATCACTTGTAATTCTGTTATCTTCCAAGTTAAGAACGCGCAAATTAAATAGTCTACCGATGCTCAAAGGAATAGGACCCTCAATATTGTTGTAAGAAAGTTGTAAGCGCGTGAGACGAATAAGGTTTCCGATGCCTGCAGGAATCCTTCCAACTATTTGAGTACCATAAATTCTTAGTCTATCAAAAAGGGTTGACATATTCGCAATTGTTTCCGGAATTGAACCAGTAATTAAAGGGTTATCTCCTAAATCAAGAACTCGTAGGCTTGTGCAGTTCGTTAACGATGAAATGAAACTAATATCATCTTCAATCAAGGTTTCTGCAGCATATAAAGAATCAAGCTTTGAAAGTCCCCCAAACCTTGGCATTATCCCATTAAAATTATTAACTGACAAAACCAATAATTCAAGGGAGGAAACATTCGACAGAGAGATCGGAACACGCCCACTAAATTGATTTTTTCCCAAGACTAGAAGCTTCAGATTAGGGAGAGTTAGGCCTATAGTAGAGGGTATGGTTCCATGAATATCATTAAAATCAACTTTAAATTGCTCGATAGTTGATATATTGAACATACCTAAAGGAATAGTGCCTATGAGATTGTTGTCACCCAAATTAATATAACTTAGTCCTTCAAGTTGGGAAAGTGACTGCGGAATTTCTCCTTCAAAGCCGCGAGACCTTAAATAAAGGGTTCTTAGAGATGTTAGGTTTCTCCAAAATTTTGTTCTTACCCAAGCCTAGAACTCTTAGTTTCTCCAAAAAATGGATTTCCGGAGGTATAGCTCTAGAAAAACTAGATTTCTCCATAAGGAAATATTTGCAGGCACTATTCTTCCCGTGAACAAATTGTTGCTAAATTCTATATACTCAAGTCTTCTTAAAAGACCGATTTCTTGGGGAATTCGGCTATTGAAGATATTATTTCCGAGATTGATTTTTCTAAGGAATGAAAGATTACCTATATGAGGTGAAAGTGATCCCATCAAGCCTTGAGAATCCAAGTTTATGGCAATAACTCTATTCGGGTGCCTCCGACCGCATGTGACTCCGTTTTACGTGCAAAAGTTTGTAGTTCGATTCCATGAGATTAGAGCTCCGTTTGGATCGACATTTAAGGCTTCTTTCAAGGCAAGCAACGAAAGCAAATCTGTTTGGTTACTGTTGGAGGATGCTGGAGTGTACAAGGCAAAACAAGAGAATGCCAACAAATAAAGGGTTATTATGATTGAATTTGCCATACTGCGGTTTGCGTTGATACGCTTACGCGATTTCGTGTTTGTATATATATATATATATATATATATATATATATATATATATATATATTTGTGTGCCTGGGTATTGGTGCGTCAAGCTAAGTTCACCAAGTCTACACATGAAAGTTAAGCATATTTGGAATTTTACTAAGTCGCCAAAACAAAATGCCAAAATTGAGAAGTTGGACCATTCTCTGGGTAGAAAACAAAATGCCAAAATTGACAATGATGTATCATTCCCATAGGAATATAATATCGTGTTTGTTTTTCTCATTTCAATTTTTGTTATTTCCATAGGTGTTTTGCCAAACAATGTTAGTTAAAATTTAAGGGGTAAAATTACAAATAAGTATGTGATATGCCTAATTGGGCCAACCCAATGGACTTACAATTTATTTACCTACTGGGTCACGAGCCAAATATTGAAGACTAATATCACCGAGGCCCAATCACCTTCAAATAAGGTTTGGGCCCAACGATCTCATCTAAGGTATAAGTAACGATATAATTCATTTGCTAAAGGTATGCCCTATTATCTAAATAATACTAAGAGTCATATTCTCTCAATTATTTCTACTATCCCCACGACTAACTTGAGCGTCGGAGGGGTTTCCGCCGGATCAACCCCTGGCCTAGTTCACGTTTTCTCTTTTCGCAGGTATCTCAGGGTCATCTAGCACGTGAGCAGTGATCCACTTTGCTCTCCCAGCTCAACTACTTGAGACGATCTATTTTTAGCATCATCATTTTGGCGCCGTCTGTGGGAAGGCAAACAAGATCACGTAGCGCGCAAGATGGCCTTGAGACATCTGCTTAGGGGAGTGTGACACTGCTAACAACCTCCCACCTTGTGGAGGCTCTGGCTTGCCACTTCCTTCTCCCCATGCTCGGGATCCACCATGAGACCCTCCTCGTGATGCCCCACTAGATCCTCGGATCCACTTCTTCCCGCCCCTCGATCGGTTCAGACAACCGAGGAGGCCCTTCAACGCTACCAAGGGTTATCGACTCCCTGGGGGCTTACATCTGCCCCCAAAATATTTCGTTCGCCAAGGGTTATCGACTCCCTGGGGGTTTACAGTGCCCCCAAAACATTTCGCTCGCCAAAGGTTATCGACTCCCTGGGGTTTATAGTGCCCCCAAAATATTTCGTTCGCCAAGGGTTATCGACTCAATGGGGGTCATCCCAAGGGTACGTGATCGCCTCATCCTAAGTTGGGGGTTATCCCACCCTAAGGTTGGGCATCTTACCCCAAGGGTACGTGATCGCCTCATCCTAAGTTGGGGGTTATCCCACCCAAAAGTTGGGCATCTCGTCCCAATGGTTCGTGATCGCCTCATCCTAAGTTGGGGTTAACCCAATCCAAGGTTGGGCATCTCATCCAAAGGGTACGTGATCGCCTCATCCTAAGTTGGAGATTATCCCACCCCAAGGTTGGGCATCTCACCCCAAGGGTACGTGATCGTCTCATCCTAAGTTGGGGGTTATCCCACCCAAAGGTTGGGCATCTCATCCCAAGGGTTCGTGATCGCCTCATCCTAAGTTGGGGTTATCCCAATCCAAGGTTGGACATCTCATCCCAAGGGTACGTGATCGCCTCATCCTAAGTTGGGGGTTATCCCACCCCAAGGTTGGGCATCTCATCCCAAGGGTACGTGATCTTCTCATCCTAAGTTGGGGATTATCCTACCACAGATTGGGCATCTCATCCCAATGGTTGAACATCACCCTTACTTTTCAACCCCTAGCGGGTTCACATCCCACAACTCCATCCGGATTTACATCACTCTCGGATCCCTCTGATTCCTCACTATCACTCCTAAAATCTACAAATTGGGATCTAAGACGTCTCCTACTAGTACCAACATCATCAATAATATTGGTAATTCCATTATTCGATGCCAAATTATGATCCGGAGAAGAAACAAGTTGACGCTCCGCGAAAACGGGCGAAAAATGGCCAATAACGCGCTCCGGCGCGCGAATCAGCCCCACCCTAACCACCCCCCACCCCACCCACCCGCGCATCTCGCGGGGTACCCCCCACCCCCACCCACCCGCCTCCTCTTTCACTCTCTCTCTCTCTCTCCTCTCACCACCCCATGTGGGCCTGCCTACCCTACCCTCCCCCTACCTCTCTTTCTCTCTCTCTTCTCTCTCTCTCTCTCTTTCTCTCACCTACCCACCTCCCATGTGGGCCTGCCTACCCTACCCTTCCCCCTACCTCTCTTTCTCTCTCTTCTCTCTCTCTCTCTCTTATCTCTCACCACCCTACCCCCACTTGGCTAGCCTCCTCCCCTCCATCAATCAAACGCGCGGTACACCCCTACCTCCCTCCATCCGCGCGAATTCCACCGTGTTATACAAAATCACGCACCGATTTCACCTCGCTTCACCAAATCGCGCGGAAATTTCAATGCGCTTCACCAAATTGTTCGAGCTATTCAATGTGCCTCACCAAATTGCACGCGCTACTAAACGGATAAATAAATTATTATTTTTCCACGCCACGCCAACGATTAACGGAACACTACAACATCGATCTACACTCGACACGATTCGGTACCCTTCTCGACTTATCTCCCACATCGAATCGAGAATGGGGGGCTTGCGAGACAACTCCCACGAGGAGCCAACTAGCTCGGTCCTACAACACGTTGCGAGGCAACTCCCACGAGGAGCCAACTCCCTCGGCACTACAACCCGCAGCGAGACAACTCCCACGAGAAGCCAACTCGCTCGGCACTACAAATCCAACCTTAGAAACACTTAGAGATATTATGAGAATCTATATAGCCTGGCCAGCTTGATTACTCAAATTTCTCTACTTGTTTTCGACGGGTCGTTTATTAAAACGTGGCCACGGTCCAAACATACGTACGACCCACGAGGTCTAACAAGGGACACGATCCCCATATAAAAAAAATCTTGAGAGCCTGATCCACTCATCAAGTACATCAGGCACAAGGCTATATGTAAACACATATAAGCAACGCGTCAAACCATTGACAACGTCAATAAATAAACAACTCCCACGAGGAGATAACAACGCCAACGACTCAAGTAATTTACATCGCGACATTTTGGTCGCGCTACGTGCCAACGCGCCTTCACTCCCCTCCGACATACGCTCCAACGCGTTTTCGCACACCATCAGGCCTTACGCCAACGAGCAACTACTACAATTTTTACTCTCGACACGATCTGTCACCCATTTCGACATGGCCCCCACATCGACTCGAGAGTGGGGGGCTTAATGATACGCCTAATTGGGCCAACCCAATGGACTTACAATTTATTTACCTACTGGGCCACGAGCCAAATATTGAAGACTAATATCACCGAGGCCCAATCACCTTCAAATAAGGTTTGGGCCCAACGATCTCATCTAAGGTATAAGTAACGATATAATTCATTTGCTAAAGGTATGACCTATTATCTAAATAATACTAAGAGTCATATTCTCTCAATTATTTCTACTATCCCCACGTCTAACTTGAGCTTCGGAGGGGTTTCCGTTGGATCAACCCCCGGCCTAGTTCACGTGTTATCTTTTCGCAGGTATCTCAGGGTCATCTAGCACGTGAGCAGTGATCCACTTTGCTCTCCCAGCTCAACTACTTGAGATGATCTATTTTTAGCATCATCAGTATGTGATGGGCAACTTATTTCAATCTAAATCCACTTCGTAAATCTAGATAATGTTCAGAGGTGTGTAAAAAATTAAGGATTAAAATACCCTTTTATTTATTAATATATTTTCATCCATTTAATCCCAATTTCACAAATTATTCAACTATGACTTCTAACCAAATTTTGACTCCAATTTTGGCCGTCGCGCCGCCGTTGACTGCTAGTCAACCGTGTTCACTGCCGGTCAACCGCCATCCACGACGTTCACGTTTTTTTTAACCTTTTTTTCCACCGGCGCCGCTGACCGGCTGCATTAACTTTTCTTTTTAATTTTTTTTCCAAATTACTTTTTGGCCCCTGTAAAAATAGTAAATTACCGTGGAATCATGAATCGGGTGTCTTGAAAAGGTGGCGATAATTTTTGTCATAAAAATAGGATTATGATTTAATTTAATAATATATGTTGAAGGGGTGAGTTTATTTGCATACCCCAAAAAACATTAACTGGTTTTTAACGTTACCCCTAATTTCGAACAAAAGTAAATACTGCAGAAACACCACTGGCAATTTATTATAACAATATGACCATTTATGATGTCATTTTATGAATTTAACACACATTTTACAATGTCTATATATCAAGTTATCAATGAACAATGCCAACAATTCAAAGACATTTTTGAAACATTTTTTTTGGGTAAATTACACCCACACTCCTGAGATATGCTTCAATAACTTTAAGGTCCGTGTTGTATCGATAATTACACTTACCCCCTTGAAACGTAGTT